CACCGTTGAGGAACGACAGGAACTTGACAAGTAGTCAAGGACGGTAGACCCTTGCTCCCTCAGGGGTATGATCTAAATTTAAACACCAGGAATAGGGAACCCTTAAAACATTACCATGTTTGTGGAGAGAAACTTTCAATAGGTTACCAATCAACAATTTGATCTAAAAGAGAGAGAAACATCATAGGGAACTTCTTTCAATTCCTCAAAATCCCCTCTCTCTCTTTTTTGTAAAAGTACCTAGGACTAACCTCTACCTGGAATGCTCTCTTCTTTTCCTATCCCCTCTCCTAAAATTTCTATTAGGTTGGCTAGTGATCCTTTAGATTGCAGCTTAAAGTCACTTCCTCTTACAAGTCTTCCCTGACCCCCCCGCCTGTCTCCCTGACCCCCAAACTTAGGAAGATGCTTTTGCTTTGCACAGCTACAGCTTCCTCAGACTTTCCCTATCATAGCTCTAGATGTCGTTGTCACTGTTTATATAGTTGTCTGCCTCCCAGATAGACAATGCAGTGGTAACCTCTGGAGGGTTATTATCACCATTCATAGCAGTGGAATCTGAGGTACATTGTGGATCAATACCTCAATTCCTCATCTCTAAAACAGGTGTAACAACAGGACATACCTTAGAGAGTTGTATGAATGCGTTCATACAGGCCAGGTGCTTAGAGCAGTGGTTCACAGAGGTTCTCAGACCGGTCCCTGATTCTTCTCATCATTTGCCATTTCGGCAAACGGCAACTCCAGTCTCCAACTACTTGAGCCAGAAACTCTGGAGGCATTCTTAACACCTTTCTCTTTCTCTCTAACCTCTCATTCAATCCATTAGTAAATCCTGCCTGTCAGCTCTCTTCTCAAATGATCCAGAGTGTAACACCTTCTCACCACTTCCTCTATGACCACCTTGATCTGGGCCACCATCCCTCTCACTTGGATTATTCAAACAGCATCCTCACTCAGCTCTTCACAGTCATACCATTGAAACCCAGCTCAGAGTGAGCCATTTCTCTGTGCAGACCCTTTCAGTGGTTCCTGTCTCACTCAAGTGAAGTCCAAAAGTCTTACAATGGCCTACAAGCCTCATGACCTGTCTCCAGCTACTTCTCATTCCAGTGGCACAGGACTCCTTGCTGTTTCTTAAACACATCATATGCGCTTCTGCCTCAGGACCTTTCTGCCTACTGTACCTCCTTCAGATGGCATAGTTTCTCCCTCACTCCTTTCTCCTCAGAGCAGCAAGACCTGTGTGTATCATCTTGTATAAAACCATCTTCCCTCAGTGGTTGAGTGTCTGCCTTCGGTTCAGGTCATGACCCTGGTCCGGGGATCCAGTCCTACATCAGGCTCCCTGCAGGGAGCCTGCTTCTCCCTCTGTCTATCTCCCTGTGTCTCTCATGAATAAACGAACAAATAAATACATAACATCATACAATACAAAATACAAAAACAATACATTAAAAAAAAAAACACGACCATCTCCCCTCCACTCTATACCCTGAACACTCCAATTCTTCATCCTGTTTTATTTATATTCATAGTAGTTATCACCATGTGGGATATATATACGTCTATCTACCTACATATGTACATGTATACAGATATCTGTATACATACACATATACATAGCTGTCTGTTTGTCTTTCCCTACCCAAATGTAAAATCTGGAAGTCAGGCATCTGTTTATTTTGTTCACTGCTATGTTCCCAGAGCATGAAACATGTTTAGTAAGTACTCAATAAATATTTGTAAATAAATGAATGACTATGGTTATTTGGTACACAGTAGTAGGTCCACTGTAACTACTCACTGCTGACTGAACACATGAATATTCCAGAATTTCCCATGAAGGGCATTGATAATGGTCAGCTCGGGTTAAAGAAGTGGGGGCATGTATCTTCAAACATTTGCTGCATGGGGTGCATGTTCTCGGAATCATGGTTTCTTCTAATCGTTTTTTAAAGTGAGTGTTTTATATGGTTTGCATGACCACTTTTAAGTAGTCTGCACTTTTAAGTTTCTAAACCTCAGTGATCATCAGAACTACCCACAGAGATTCTTATTCAATAGGCCTTATTTAATTGGGATTTAAGTACGTTTGAGCAAGAACTTAACTGTTAGTTTCCTCATATGAAAGATGGGATTATAATACCATCCACATAGTCTGTAAAGGATTAAATAAATAAAATATTCTCTGTGGGGTGGCTCACGCATAGTATTAGGTACTCTTTGTTTCTGCTCACTTTTCCCTAAAGTTTGACATTAAATTCTTATAAGCAAGTCATAGTCCTTGCTCTCTAAAAATTTAGGTTTGATTTCGTGTTCAGTCCAGATCTCTAATTTGAGGTCCAGATTTATTTTGCAAAGATATACTCAGCATCTTCATTTGGATGTCTCATAGAGACATTGAACCCAGTTCATTTAAAGCAACTCAAATCTGTCCCAGTGCAACCTCCTTCTCCAGGTTCCCCATCTCAGAGAATGGGATCAGCTCACGCTAGAAACCTGGGAGTCATTTTTGGACACTTTTCTTTCTCTCATCTTTCATGCCCAGTTGGTGATCAGGTGCTTACAAATCTAACGCTGATCGATTTCCTCGATCAGGAGAGTCTTCTACTCTTCATTGCCTGCAGACAGGTAGGTCTTCACACATCTTCTGCTGCTCCCTTTCTACTCAGTGTCCACATTGCAGCCAGGAATGTCGTTTACAAATACAAATTAGATCGTGTGCAGATGGATCCTCTCCAACTCTTCAGTGGCTTCCTTTTGTATTTAGGATTAAGTCCAAAGTTCCCAGTGTGGCCCTCAAGCCTTATACCCACGTCTGCGTCAGCACTAGCTGCCTCGTTCTAGCCACAGGGGGAGCCCCTTCCTACCCAAGTGCCTTCAAAGCCACAGTTTCCACAGCAACAAGTGCACTCTCCACCCTGCTCCCTTCCCTTTGTTGTCAGACCTACTCTTCCTTATTCTTCAAGGCTCAGATTAAATGTCACTTCCTCAAAGAGATCTTTTTTACCCCTAGAGCAGACAGGTCCCTTTGTTACAAACTTCCATAACTCTCAGGTTTCTTCTAGCAACCATCACAGCAGTGATTTTTTTTTTTTAAGATTTATTTATTCATGAGAGGCACACAGAGAGAAGCAGAGACACAGGCAGAGGGAGAGGCAGGTTCCCTGTGGGGAGCCCCATGTAGGACTTGATCTCAGGACCCCAGGATCACAACCTGAGTCAAAGGCAGATGCTCCACCACTGAGCCACCCAGGTGCCCCACAGCAGTGACTAATACAGATCCTCAATTCTAAACCACTTGATTCACATTCTAAGCTGCCAGCTGTCAAGCAGAAGAGGAATAATGTGATCACTGTTGCCTGCACAATTAGGATCTAATTTTTCAGAAAGGGGTGTCTCTTGATCCAATCCTACCTAGAACTTTAATTTGAATAGAAATTTAATTTGAAATTTGTTGAAATTTCATTTGAATTTGTATTCCAACTTAAAGCTTAAAATATCTAAAAAAAAATACACACTATATTGTGGCATACAGAATGAGAGACGGCGTAAATGGAAGTTTTGCCCACACACCAATTAATGAAACAGGGTAGTTGAAACCATCGGCTCAGAATCAACCAGGAAAAAATGGTGGTAGAATTTTCCAAGCTGGGAGAGGGTGGTTTGTCCAATTCAAACCTTGTGCAGAAGTCTTGGAAGACTACGTGACCCAGGGGACGAACACTTAGCCAGTTGGAATTTTACTTCTGGCAAACTTTTAAGAGTAGCTTACTTACCTCCTAGTGAAATGTAATTCAGAACAGTAAGAACAAAATCCACTTGGAAATATGGTCAAAACACTGTTTTTCCATATTCTTTGCAATTATCCTTTCATTCCTAATGGTGTTTAGATTGTGAAGAACACCCGCATTCACCATTATAAAAAGCATTACTGTAGATGGTCAAGACTGATATGAAAGCACACTTCACCCAGAAGGTTAAGGTCAAAACGCAATCTGATTGCGAAGCAGAAAAACAAAAACCTGGGTAAATGTACGATCCAGTGTCCCTTAGCACCTGAAAAGCTGCTACTAAGTCACTGGTGCGACTTAGAGTTGATGGAAGCTTTGATCTGAGGAAAAAGAGTGCCACTAGCTCTGTAATTTTTAAAATGACATCTTTCAGAATAAGTGCCTGAGGACGGACACCTTTGTTTTGGTCACTGGAATGTCCCCCAGGCATGGGCCATTACCTGAGTCATGCAAAAGGTGCTCAGTAGTTGTTAGGTAAGAGTTCTCGGCTTTACGTGGCAAATTTTGGTCACTTTTACCTAGATGGTGGCGAACTTGAAAAGTCTTAGCATCCCAGCCACCTGCACTGCACCCGTGCACTTGGCTCCTACACCCCTCTCCCCCTGGGAGGGTGCTGGGAGCCGCCCTACATCCCATCCGCTCACGGGTTCCGGCCCCGGCCCCGGCCCCCGCCCCCGCCCCGCCCCACCCCCAGCTGTCTTCGACCTCCGCCCGGCGCAGCAGCTACACGGCTGTTTCTGCGCTGCTCTGCAGAAAGCCAGGCACAGAGTTACGTACGCCTTGGTTTTCATTCCCGTCTGCGAGAAGGAAACACGAGCCCAGCCACCAGGAGGCCCCTGTCTGAGCACAGAAATCATGAGTCATAGATTTGGGGGTTCGGACCTAGGAACAGCTGGCGATGTGGATGGGCGTCGGCCTGCGGGGGTGACGAGCCCCCGCCCCGCCCCGGGCAGGGTTCCCTGGAGGCTCCCGCGTCCTCTCCTCCATCCTGCCCCCACCCCAGGCCCGCGGCTTTCAGGGTGCGGCCGGGGGTCCGGGCCGGGCGGGGCGGCGCTCGCGCTCCAGGTCGCCGCCCCCGCGGCCACATCAGCAGCCTCTCGCCTCCCCCGAGGCGGCGGCGCGGCTGCGCGTGCGCGGGGCGGCGGCGCGGGGGCGGGGGGCGGGGCGGCGGCGGCGGCGGCGGGGGCGGGGAGCGCGCGGGCCCCGGGCGCCGGCTCCGGGGCTGTCAGCGCAGGACCGCGAGGGCGCGAGGAGGCGCGCGAGCAGGAAGGAGCCGCGGCCCGGGGCCGCCGCCACGCCGCCGCGGGGGGACTAGGTGAACGAACGCTCCTTCCATCCCCCGCCCGGGCGCCGGGTCGCGTCTGAGGAGGCGGGGTCCCCTCTCAGCCGGGCCGGCGCGGCCGCGCTCCGGGGCAGGTGATAATGGAGGGGAAGTCTGCGCCGTGGCCGCGGCGCGGGGTTCGGGCGCATCCCAGGTACCGGAGGGAGGTGGGGGCGCCCGGCCGGGCCCTCTGCGGCCGGGGCGCGGGAGGGCCGGGCGGCGGGGAGCGGCCGCCCCCTCCCCCTCCCCCGCGGGGCCCCCTCCCCCGCGGAGCCCCCTCCCCCGCGGGGCCCCCTCCCCCGCGGAGCCCCCTCCCCCGCGGAGCCCCTCCCCCGCGGTGTCCCCTCCCCCGCGGTGTCCTCTCCCCGCGGAGCCCCCCCCGCCCCCGCGGTCTCCGCGCCTGCCCCGCGGCGAGCCGGACGGCCGCTGGCCCTGGGCGCCGGCGGGGAGGGGGCGCGGCGGGGCGGGGTTGGGGGTGGCCGAGTGCGGGGGTCGCGGGGGGCGGGGAGGGGAGCGCGGATGCAGACGCCGCGGGGCGGGCTCGCAACCCCGGCCCCACCGCTTCGGGGCGCGGCAGCTGCCCCGGGTCACTGCCGCCTTTCATTCCTTTCTTTAAGTAAAATATATCTCAATTAAAACAAAACCCCAAACGTTCATCTACATGAAGAGATGATACGTTCGTATGTAATTATGTATATTTCCATTTACAAACATATTACACATATATGTCGTCTTTCTGTACGTGCACACTTGGTTTGGTTTTTTTTTTTTAATTGAGATATACGGCACATACCATAAAATTTGTCCTTTTAAACTGTGGCTTTTACTTTAGTCACAAAGTTTTGCAGCTATCAGCACTGTCCTGAGCGTTTTCATCTCAAAATGAAACCCTGGACCCATTAGCAGTCATTTCTCATTTCACCCTTACCCCATCGTCTGGCAACCGCTAATTTACTTGCCCTTCTCTATGGATTTGCCTATTCTGGAAATTTCATATAAAAGGAATAATACAACATGTGCTTTTTGTGTCTGGCTTCTTTCACATAGAAAAATGCTTTCAGGGTTTATCCATGTTCTAGCTTGTACTGGTACTTTATTCTTTTTTATGCCTAGGTAATATTCCATTGTATTGCTGTACCATAATATCACATATTGTTTATCCATTCATCGCTTGATGGACATGCAGGATGTTTCCACTTTTTGGCCTTGTGAATAATGCTGCCATGAACATTTGTGTACATGTTTTTATGTGGGCATATGCTTTCATTTCTCTTGGGTGTCTTTGTGTTTGACTTTTTGAGGAACTGCCAGACTTCTGCCCGGTAGCAGCTTCCTTTTACATTCTGCCAAACACTGTGTGAGGGTTCCAGTTTCTACACATCTTCACCAACACTTGTGATTATGTATTGGCTGGTTTTTATTTTAGCCATTCTAGAGGGTGTGAAGTGGATTTAAGGTGTGATTTGCATTGACCTAATGATATGACCTAAGATATGGAGTATCTTTTCATGTGCTTATTGGCTATTTGAATAGCTTCTTTGGAGACATGTCTATTCAAATTCTTTGCATATATTTTAATTGGATTTTTTGTCTTTTTTTTTTTTTTACACGTTGGGTATTTGTCCTTTTATTGTTGTATTATGTTGTTCATTTATGGAAAAAAAATAGGTTTGGGGCTAGTTCTGACTAAAAAAGCCAACTGACCTGATAGCAAGCAGCATAGTGTTTCTTGGGGGAAAGCTGAGTTAAGTGCCGTTTATGTTTTTCAGACTATCCTACCTGTCAATTCTTGGGCATCTTACTGCCTGTTTCCATGTCTCATATCTTGAGAAAAGCCACAAAGGTATGCTATGACCAGATTCAAGAGAGACCACACACAGTTGGTGTTTTCATATATTCCTTGCTTGATTTGAAAAAAGTACCAGTTATCACTTTAATTACAAATAATTTATTTTGATGGCTGGTTAAACAAACTACTAAAAATGGCAAACGCCAGTTATTCAATTAACATTTCATATGCTTAACTTCTCAGGCAAAGTGGGAGATCTTGTTTTCCTAAGTTTTTGTAGTCTTTATTACAGTTAGACTCATCTATGGGTGGCAAATAAATACTTTTGATGGCGCTGAAGTTAAGAGTCACTTACAGCTGAATGAATACCGGTATGCTTATTTTGTGGTTTATTTCTGAGTACACACAAATTCAGCATTAGCCTTAGCTCTTTTTATAGCAAAAACCACCGAAAGAGACAGGACACCTGCCTCTCAGGAGTTCAGGTTCATTTTCCTATTACTCTAATGTGACTGTTCAAAAATATACTTCCAAGTTTCAGAAATGCTATAGAAAATAAAATTGAAGATTTCCAAGTAGAATTAATGGATAAGCAACTGATTAAGACTGTAAAAAGCAGCCCAGTTCTGGTTTTCAACTACTAAATTATAAAACAAAGGAAATGGTGTTTAACCCCTTTATGCCTCATTGACTTTCTTAGTAGAAGGAATAATTTCAATATATAACCTGAATGTCTCTTTTTCTTTTAGCTAATGGAATGATTATCAGATGTTTTGAGAATAATAACCTATCCAACCTAGTAGTGATTGTTACTGACTCACCCAATGGATATAAAAATGTCCCATAGCTACAAATGGTTTTCAAGTTGGCCTTCTTCTTGGTACCTTCGAGTTTTTAGGACTTATTGAGGACTGAAAGTCAAGTGCAATGAAAAATGGGAACAATTTGGGGAACATGATCCCTGGGAAATGGTGATCAGAGCAGACCTGCCTCCTATATGGTGAACTTCTAGGCACTTCTCATCTTTTCTCTGAGATTACTGTAGTTACATTTCTATAGCTTAAAAATAATGTGTGTGTATTTTAATATATATGAATAATAATAAAATATATATCTCCAGTAGAGTTCAAAGGCTAGGAGTCTCAGTCAGTTTTGTCTTAATGTGAATGCATTTAATCAAATTGCTTTGCCCCTCCCCCCCCCATTAGCTACACTAGGGAAATGGGAATTTTGACTTGAGGAAGGATAAGAGAGGTAAGTAGTATGGGATCATGTGACATTTTGGAGGTTTGGCAAAATTTGCAGTATTTTTTTTTTTAAGATTTGATTTATTCATGAGAGACAGATTGGGAGGAAGAGATGAGAAGCAGGCTCCCTATAGGGAGCCCGATAGGAACTCCGGGAACACCCTGAGCTGAAGGCAGACACTCACGCATCCCCCACTGAGCCACCCAGGTATCCCCAAATTTGCAGTATTTCTAAAAGTGGGTGTTGAAAATGGAAATCTTTGGGTAGCATAAAGGGTCTGAAAGAAGAGGAAAGAAAAGCAAGAATGAGAATTTGGAAGGGAAAGTTGTAAGCTATTAAGATAGGTACAATTTATTTATGCATTTTTGCCCAAGGGAAATTCTAAATAGGAAAAGGTGGAAGAAACCTTCTTTATTTCAGTCTTCTTCCCCTTTTCCCGACCTTGCTTCTCCATGCTACTCTTCTAAGGACCCAGGAGGCAGACTGTAATGACTATTGTTCATGTGTAAGCTTTTCAGTGAGTTAAGTACACCCCTTCTATTTCCAGATTCTGGTCAAATTGAGATCAGAGTCAGGAAATCAGATGAAAATTAAAGTACTGTGAAAATACAGTCTTATTGTAAAGCTGGATTGGAGAATTCAGCTTAGATCTGTGCTTATTTTGTTCCTTCTTAATTTACCTTCCCAGAGGCAACTGTAGCACCTAAAAACCTGCCGGTCAAAGCTGCGGGTCAGGTCTCCCCTCAGGCAGGGAAAGTCCTGAATCCGGAAGTTGTCCTCCTAGGAATTGGAATGGAAAAGGAAAACTTCCTTTGAAGGCATCCGAGTGGGAGAGAGCCAGTGAGAGTTTAGGGGTGGAGCCTGTCTGGAATATTGACCTTTATCCTTAGGTGAGTCACTTTCTCCAGGAATTGCTGATGAGATAGAAAGAAAAGTGCCCCTTTAATCCTATTTTCTCCTACTTAGGGGGGAGTGAAAGTTCTGTTGTCTTTGCAGAGAGGGAAATAAGAGGTGTCCTCTTATCAAATGTATCGTGTTGTGTGTATTTTGTAGGCTAGTCTAGGAATTTAATAATTTACAAAATAGGAACTGAGAACTCATTTTCCTTGGAAATAGCTAAACCTCTCAACAGTTTTTGAGAAGGTGATTGTTTCAGGTGATTGTTTCAAACCTCTGAACAGTTTTTGAGAAGGTGGTTAAATATAGAGAGTATTCAATCTACATCCTAACTTGTTTTACTTCTCAAATATTTACCCAGTGTCCAATACTTAATAGATACTGGACTAGGCCCTTGGGATTCAGCAGTGAACAAGAATGGGTCCTTGCTTTCATGGAGGTTACTCGCCTAGCAAGACAACTAGTGCAAGAATGATCACAGTAAGGTGGAATAAATGTTAAAAAGCTTAGAATACTTTGGGACCACTGAGGAGGGGGAACTCATCTGGGAGGGTCAAGGGAAGTGCTGGTTAATAGCGAAGGGTCACAAAGTAAAATAGGAAGTAGCCAGGTGAAAGGGAAGAGAGGATGAGCAAGAGTTTCAGGAAAAAAAGAACATCTGGAAAGGCCAAGAAGTGAGATAGGGTAGTGTATACTAAAATAGTATTTTTCAAACTGCAGGCAACTAGGCATCCATGAGTAGATTGTAAATTCAATTTAGTGAGTTGTGACCTGCATGTTTTAAAAAAGAAATCAAATAGAAAGAAGAGCGTATCACACATAGTAGATTGTGATATGTAAAGTTTGAAAATCTGCTACAGTGGAAACAGAAAAAGCCCTGTGTGACCACAGCCAGAGGTCTTAGGTGGGTGGGGATGATGATGCAGGATTTAGTTGACCTTATTAATTAAAGAATTTGGATTTATTTTAGAGGAAATGAAGCCACTGGAAGTTTCAATAAAGACCTGATTAGATCAATATTTTCTGAAGATCCCTTTGAGTGTCCCAATTTTTCTCTATTTGAATATAAACTGCAAATTCCTTGGCCCAGTGTTACGGGTATTCCAAAGTTGGTTCTAGTCTAGTTCTAGTCTTTTTTTTCTAAAGAATCTTTCCACTATTTTTGGTATTGGAACCTCCCATTTCATAAAGATTTATTGTCTGCCTAAGTGCCTTTGCGCTGACAAAAGGTCTAGAGGAGTGGATTATGCTTCTGTCTCACTCATGTTGAACCTCTGGCATTTAGCTTACTGCTTGATACCCACTAGGGATTAAGCAAATCTTTGTTGATAGAGTCTAAGCATTCTTAATTTTAGAACTGTTACATAGTAGGAGATATGACCTTGGCATTTCTAATAATTCTTGCTTGTGCAAAGAAGTAGGCTTTATTAGGAATTCTTTTTTTCTCAGTTGGAATCGTGTCAGTGATAGAGCCATATTGATTTATTTAAAATATAATTTAGGGCAGCCCTGGTGGCTCCGTGGTTTAGCACCGCCTTCAGCCCAGGGTGTGATCCTGGAGACCTGGGATTGAGTCTGGTGTCGGGCTCCCTGCATGGAGCCTGCTTCTCCCTCTGCCTGTGTCTCTGCCTCTCTCTCTCTCTATGTCTGTCATGAATAAATAAATAAATAAAAATAATAATAAAATATAATTTAACAAAAAGCACTCTTAAAACAGTAGCAGAGAGAAGAACAACAGATTTTCTGATTTGGGAGTTTTTCTTCCCAAAGAGTATAGAGCAATGACTGATTATTCATGAGAGGAGGCAATCCAGCAGTCATTTGTATTTTGTTTGGATAGGCATTTTTTTGAGCACTCACCAAAAGACAGTTTTGTGGAGATGGCTAGGAACAAAGAGAATAAATTAGATTAAAATGCATCAATCATATGAACTTAATGGAGAGGCAACAGAATATTAAAATTTTGGTCTTAGAAGTAAAAATAGAATACCCATATATCCCAAAGAACTTACAAATAAGAATCTAATGATGTCAGTTTGTTGCCAGAAAATGATTGTACTGTCACAGTACTGTGACTTCACAGAATTAGATTGTGAAACCCAACTGTGAAGGAAAAATTCTTTAAGTATATGGTTTCGATAAGTGGCAAGAGAAGTTATGAAAAATTCATGAAAGGTAAATTTCAAGTTCTGATTCAAATTTCTCTTTAATACACTTTTGAGATGTGGAAACTTGGCTAATTAGTTTTGTAAATTAGATTTTATGTAGCTTAAACATGAGTGCTAGAATCTAATTTTGCTAATATGGGATGGCTTTTTAAAAATACTGAATTTTATATTTTTATGTTCTACAGAGTCCTATTTTAAGCAGTGCATTGTAGAACCTAAATTGAAACTGCTAACTTGTATAAATTTATCCTAAGGAAATAATTCTAAATATGGGAAATTATTATGCACAAAGATGTTCATTTTCATTGCAATGTAGTTTAGTCAAGAAAATGTCCTGCTCTAGGGAAATGATTCATTAAAATGTGGCAATGCTCTTGAAATTTAACCATTAAAAATACTTTTTTAGAGCAATGATTTCTTATTACTTTTTAAATTAAAAAATAAAAGTGTTCAATATAACAAAAATTCAAATAATATAAAAATATGCAAGATTTAAAAAGTGAAAATGGTATTTCAAGTCCTTCCTTACCCTACACTATCTCCACCCTCCACCCCCCAACCTAGGCCATCCTAATTCTTTATAAGTAAATACTTGGAGCAGTAGACCTTTTTCTGATTTTGAATTGTGCTCTCATGATGGTCTTCTGGTTCTTCTCAAGTTGGGTAGGTGGAGACCAAGTGGGTGGGAACCAGGGTGCTAAAAACCCTATACTGCTTTGTTTGTTCCTATTATATATATATATATATATTTCACATAGGGTTTAATTAATTATTATTTATTTATTTTTAATTTTTTATGACAGTAACACACAGAGAGAGAGAGAGGCAGAGACACAGGCAGAGGGAGAAGCAGGCTCCATGCACCGGGAGCCTGACGTGGGACTCAATCCCGGGTCTCCAGGATCGCGCTCCGGGCCAAAGGCAGGCGCCAAACCGCTGCGCCACCCAGGAATCCCCCACATAGGGTTTAATTTAAACAAATAATTGCTTTGCATTAAAAATAAATGTTTAAAAACTATGGGCCTAATTTATCAAAATGAAGTCCAAGCCCTCTAGGAATTCCAGGTCTTACCCAGTTTACCATTTTGCTACACAGTGATAGGAATGTTCTGCACAGATCTTTTGATTTCCCCAGGAGTTTTTAACCAGTCAACTTGTTAGAATGCACTCCCCCACATCTCCACCCTGACTTTTTTTTCCCATCTCTCTAAATCTTACCTGTTCTTTAAAGTTCTGTTCACCTTTGTTTTGTTCATTCCTTATTTCAACATGTATTTAGCGAACACCTACATTTTGGCTAATACTGAATGGGAAATATGCAGAATTTTGTACCAAAACTCAAACTAGTAAAGGATGACCTTCATGTAAATAAGGGCAATAATGTTTTTTGCAAAGTAAGAGCATTGTGGGGAGGACAGGTACTAAAAGTAGAAATGGTGTCCTCTACAGTTTTATGTGGCACTTATAAAAGGGCAATTTATGATACAGCTACATTTCTGGGTCTTCAGTAAATACTTGTTCATTTATTAGCTGAGTAATAGAAAATGCAGAGTTCACTTGTGAATTAAGGATGAGACTTCAAGAAGGAGCTATTTTCATTCTTGAACAATCAATTGTGTTTAAAAATAACTTGAATCCAAGTTACTGGATGCCAGTGTTGGGCATGAGCAGAGCTGAGAATGAGCCTTGGAAGGACCTTGGTTCTGTCAACCTTGTCTCCTGTGGCCACTTACACTGGTGTGGAAGGATCATAACAGAGAATACAGGTGGTGTCTTCCGTATCATTACCTGGTTAGTCAGAAAGTCATGAATTCAATTCCTGCATCTTTATCTTACTAAGTTTACAACTTGGGCATATTCCTTAACATCTTTGAGACTTAGTTTCCTAAACAGCAATGTGTGGACATATGTGTCTCCCAGGTTTTCAAAAAAGACTATGAGAGAGCCAGAGCCTGATCTGCTATTTTCTTCATGATATCTGCCACTTTCCTCTTTATGTTTTTAGATAAGCAATAATTTTTATAGTAACATTTGAGTTTTCTTTTTTTAAAGTCAGAAAACTTTTTTTCTTTTTTTTAAAGATTTTATTTATTTGTGAGAAACACACAGAAGCAGACACAAGCAGACGGAGAAGCAGGCTCCCCAGAGGGAGCCTGTTGTGGGACTCCATCCTAGGACCCCAGGATCACGTCCTGAGCCACTCAGGCATCCCAAAAAGTCAGAAAACTCTTGTACTCTAGCCTTTCCAGATTATAAGTCTTCAAAATAATTCCAGGCAAACTCATGATGGATTCCATCTTTCTAGCGCTTCATGTTCTGGTTGAGCAGACAGTTCTTCAGAATAAACCCTACAATTGTGGTTTAAGATAGTCTGTTTTATTTGTAGATTGTAAAAATGTTATTTAGGTCCCTTTTTAAAATTAAAAAACACATCAGATATGATATGTAAACCTAACAATGGTGTTAGAGCTACTTCCTATTCCAGCTTTCATTTTTTTTTTCTTTTAAACACTGGTTTCCTGAAGACCTTCATTGTTCAGTATATCTAAGTACTGTATAGTATATATACATAGTGGTCAGTGTATAAATGTAACACTTTATAGCTTGCTGGCAGTTTAATTAATTAAATTAAAAGTAGGATGGGATTTCAGTGCCCTGGTGGTACAGTCTGACGCTTGGTTTTGGCTCAAGGTCATGATTTCAGGGTCGTGAGATGAGTCCTGCCTTGGGCCCTGTGCTGAGCATGGAGTCTGCTAAAGTTACTGTCTTCCTCTCCTGCTCCCCACCTCACTCAAATAAATAAATAATGCTTTAAAAAAGTAGGA